AATCTAAATATTCTAAATTGGGTCTGAAAGTAAAAAAGAAGAAATAAATTTTAATGAAAATTTTAAATATTAAAGCGATTTTTGTAGAGATATTAATTATTATGACATAAAAAGAAATTATTTAAAACGTTTTTTCTTTTGTTTTAGATGCATTTAATTAAGTAGTAATTAATTAGACGTGTTTTCATTAGGCACCTTTTTAAGATTTTAACATTAACATGATGTTTTTCTTAACTTTGAACAGACAGCTGGTTATTAATTTTGTTTTGGCAAATATTCAACATTTTTTAATATATCATTTGTTTTACTCTTAATATTTTTATGTGATAATCAAGTCAAAGATCAAAGGAAATATTAAACGAATTTTTAAGTACTTATAATGATACATTAATCAAAGAAAAATTTAAAAATTATGACTTAATTTCGTTAGATCTGCAGAACAAGAGCGTTTATTATATCTCGGAAACTAAGTCCTTAAGTACTGAACCCCTTATTAGATTATGGTATATATTTAGCTGTTACAACAACAACAACCTGATTTTCAAACGGAAGTAGTCCTTATAAAGTTATAGCTAATTTAAATAGACGTTATTGCATAAGTTATACTCTTATGACAAATCATAATGGGTAAATTTCGAAAAACGAAAAAATTTCTTTAAGATCTAAACAATTACTAAGATAAAGCATTAAATATAATCCCTCAATATACAAATATTAAAGCAATTCCTTGTGCAAACGCCTGAGAATAAGGCAATTGCAGTAATAGTAAAAAAAGGAAACAAAAAAATAAAACTTCATACACTCACCTGAACACAGCATCCAAATAGATTTTTTGTAAATTTCTAAAATCAGTCTCGTTCATCGAGGAGAAAGGATACATAGTATAGTCCGGACCAGTCATAGCATTCATAAATGTAGCCACCGAACGATTGAGCATTTTAAAGAAGGGATCTCTAACAGGATACTTTTTCGAACCACACAGTACACTATGTTCCAAAATGTGCGGTAAACCAGTCGAATCGAAAGGAGTTGTGCGGAAATTAACAGAAAATACATTATTGGCATCGTTACGATCCAAATACCACAATTCGGTGCCAGTGACCAAGTGACGGAAAGTATAGGACATAATACCAAATTCGGGTACATGTTCAGTGCGTACACATTCAAAACCTTCATATTTTTCACCCTCCTTAAATTTACGATCCAATTGTGTGATCACTGTGGGTGTTTCGAGATTTATTTTACCCTTAGCCGCCGGACGCATATCCTGGCCAGTGTTAACTATTTTCGAATAACATAACTTTTGCCGTATGTTCTGGTCAATGACCGGCTTTATGAACTGCAAACGTTTTAACATTTTCCTGCTGCTGCTGTTGCTTTCTTTGTTACAATTTCAGTTTGTTTTAATTTCTTTCGTTCAGTTTCGTTGCTTTAGTTCTTGTTTCTATAAAACAAAAACGTTTGATAATATTCTGTTTTTAATACAATTTTTTATTCTTTTATTTTAATTTAATAAATTTCACAAAATACACACACTGTTACATCAGCACGGCAGCGACATGTTTAGCATAAAAATTATTTCGTATTAAATGTCTGCCGCACTTTTTTAATAATTTGTTTATACTGTTCAATCAAACACAGCTTTTTACGCTTTTTATATTGCATTTACTTACCGTTTTCAGTTAATTTTTTATTAATTATTTATATTATTCGCTCTAAAAATAAATCAGAAAATTCTAACTGCAACATGGAAAAATCGTGAAAACAAAATTTTTTGACACTTTTTGGTGTGAGAGGAGGAAAGACCTGCGCCTACAAAAATTAACGACGGCGTCGGTTGACACTAAAAAATTCGGCGGCGGATAAATATACAGCTGTGTTTTTTTTAATTTTAATCAAACTTATTTTAATATTATTTTTCTATTTTTTACAACTTTGTATATTTTCTTTTATTACTTTATTCATTGTTCTTCATTTTGCTTCTTATCGCTTTTATGTTCTCTCTCTCTCTTTATAATAATAGCCCAGGAAAATAAGGATTTTGGTGCTGATTTTTAAATAGCTAAATAATGCAATTTAGGAAATTCAATTCTCTATAGAAATTATGATAACATCAAAACACGTACGAGGCATAATAAGCGCAATATTCGCTAAAAACAGAATGTTGTAACCTTTGACATCCAATATGTCGCTTAGCAAACTCGATATTTTCGGTGATTTTAAATCCCTTACTGATTATGCTAAGGAGAAGCTATGTGCCAATTTTCATTAAGCTATCTGAAATTCCCCAGAATGCTCATTATTTTGCCTAATATTCCTGGGGTAATAATATATTATAACCCATTATAATGTTTTACCGACCATAAAAGGGATATTCTAAAGACGAAATTTTAAAGTTATAACTTTAAAACTTATAAAACTATACAGGAGTCTTTTCCGATATTTGCGACAAAAGTTCGTTGGGCCAATTCTTATGACTAGTCCACATGTGAAATTTTATTAATATGGGGCAAACTGTTTAGAAATTACAGACTTATTTCCCTTTATTTGTCCATTATCCCACTGTACATCACACTATTAACTGGTGCAGAAAAGATTAAGTGGGATTCCTAAAAACTTCTGGCATCACATGATTTTCTTCGTGTGGCAACTTCATCCACAATCTATCATTATTGTAATTAGGGATGGTAATTTTATTAAAAGTACTAGTTGGTACCAAACTACTCTATGTAAATAAATAATATATAAATTTTTAATAAATATATTTTTATTAGAATGCATTTAACTTTAATTTATAATATAATTATTATAACATTAATATATTTACAATAATAATTCTGTTTAAAAGTCATAATTTTAGGAAAAGTACCAAAAATCTCGCAAAGATACCAACACACATAATATAACAATATTGTATTTTGACCAACACTGTTAATTTGTTATTGTTTTGCTTAGCACTTTGACATCTAAATAAAAAACAAAACAAATTTTTAATAAAAAAATTAAGTTTATTTAGTTAATTTAATTAAATTCCGCAAAATGGACGATTCCGAACACTCGGAAGGCACTGGAATGCGTATGTCACTACGTGAACGGCCACGAAAGTTGCATGCTGAACGTCGACTCCGTGAACGAGATGAATTAAAGTTCCTTGATGATTTCGAGCCGGATAAATCGAATCGTGAAAAGCGCAAGCTGAAGCGAAAACCACCAACTAACAACCGCAGTCTGTATGATGAGTATGGTAATATACGCCACAATGGCATGGATGTTTGTGATTGCATGGACGATGAGTGTCCTGGCTGCTGGTATGACTGCGAAAATTGCGGCTCGAACAAGTGTGGTGTTCAGTGTCGAGTAAATCGTAAATTTTTCTATGAATCCATAACATTTGATGGCAAAGATGCGACAATAAGAAATAAACACTTTCCAACTAAGTGATTTTGTGGAATTTAAAGGACTTATTATGATTTAATTTTACTTTATTATACGTTTAAATTAAGAAATATACTTTTACATAAATTATACAAAAAAAAAGTCTTAAAAATTATACAAATAAATACAGACATCATGAAATAGAACGCTGCAATATTATTTATTTTCTTTTGTATCCAGCATCGGCGAAAGAGGTATGTATGTACATATATGTGAAAGATGTAATCTTTTCTATTCATATAGATCGAAATCTCCATTTAGATTCTATTGAGATTTCGATCGATATTGTATGCCGTGATTTGGTACCTGGACTATATAATTGACTATAGAAACGACTTTGGATTCAACCAAATAATAAATTATGGACTAGATTATATACCATACTATAGACTAGAATAGACTACAAACAGATCTACTGGTGGGAGTACCGCGATAATTTTCCATAACAAAATGTACCATAGACAAGACTATACTATACACAACACTAAATACTAGAACATAGACTGCTTATAGGACAGACCGTAGACTAGATCATATAATGGACTACAGACTAAACTATAGGCTAGACTATAGACTGAACTATAAAATATACTATAGACTAGACTAGAAAAAATACTGAGTAACAAAGATAAAGAATTAAATAAAAATTTGAATTCGCGTGATCATTGTAAAGAAATGTAAATATATAGTTGATTTTATTAATCTGTAAAGTCATACTTACTGTTCCTAATAGTAACAAATTTATTAATTAGAGCAAATTACAAATACGTGCAAGTTAATTGTAAAATAGTTGTATGTACAGTACTATTCGATACCTAAGCAACATTTCCTGATAGTGCACTTCCAAAGCAATTCCAAGCAATTCATGGTTGTAATTTGAAACAAATCTAAACCCAAGGACTAACTTCAGAGTTTTTCCATCACATCAAATTTTCGAGTTATCTCAACATAAATTTAAAAAAATTCTGTGTTTTCGAAATATTCTACACGTTATAGTACCACAAATTCAGCTTTTATTGGAAAGCTTTGGAATAAAGCTTTAACTATCATATTATCTTTAATCTTTTTTAATCTGCACATAAAATTGTTTTTAAGCTAAATGCGTGGTATTTTAGATATGAAGTTAAAGTTCTCTTTAAAGTTAATTTTGTGTACTTTTAACTTGAAATCCAAAAATTTGTTTAGGTTTTGAACAATACTGTATGTTTCTCTAAAATATTCAAATTTTGTATTGCTTTTTTCCAAAACTTACCAGATTTACCGGTTTTACAGTAAATTCTTGCAGTATGTACTAAAAATTGCAACCTAATTCGAATATTAAAAGTTGCAAATCATTTTTATATTCATACTTTTGAAAAGTTAATTCAAAACGATTCAAACCATAGAGCAGCCACTGTATTCCCAAGATAATTCCCTATTCAAATTACTATATACTACAGTAATTCTCTTTATAACCGGCAGTACAAGAAATTCTCTTTTATTTTAATATCACATTTATACACATTTGTGCATAATTACAATTGAACTTGACAAATAGAGAATTCTTTATTTATCAGTTCAGTTTTAGAACAACCATCAACCAATAAACACTATAGTGTTTTATTAGTTTTAATCTGTTCCCCTTTAAATTTACACTATTATACTATTACGTCAAAAATAATGCTACTTTTACTAGCAACAACAAGTCTGTTAATAATTTTAATAGTTTGGCTGAAACATTTAAACCGTGATTATGAATTAACTTCTTTAACGAGAAAAATCAAAACCGTTGATGGTTCATCTTTAAAAAATTCTGTAGCTATTGGCTGTGGTTTTTGGGGCAATAGCTATGATTTGATTTCCATGAACTTGGGTAATAAACAACAAAATATTTAATTAGCAAATGTAAAATTTTATTTAAATTTTAGAACAAATGTTCGATTATTCTCGTACATTTGCTAAAAGATATGGGCGCAGTTATATACAATACTTTTTTTCCTGTCCCGTTTACAATATCATTGATCCGGTAAATGCTGAGCTGATATTAAACGATAATCGTATATTGACCAAAGGTATAGTTTATTCATTTTTACATCCCTTTTTAAAGACTGGACTACTGACGAGCACGGGTAAGTAGAAATATTAAATTTTAAAATTCCGTGACTAATGAAAAATATTAAATTGTTTTTATTATTTAGATAAAAAATGGCATAGCCGACGTCGCTTATTAACGCCTGCATTTCATTTCAATATTTTAACTCAATTTATTGAAATATTTAAGTGAGTTATCGTTTCTTTAATTTTTTTGTTTTTAATCAAAAGCTAATTGTACTGTATTTGGCAAAGTCGACTTTTTATGTACTCTACTATAGTCTAGTCTATAGTCTAGTCAATAGTCTAGTCTAGTCTAGTCTATAGTCTAGTCTATAGTCTAGTCTATAGTCTAGTCTATAGTCTAGTCTATAGTCTAGTCTATAGTCTAGTCTATAGTCTAGTCTTTAGTCTAGTCTATAGTCTAGTCTATAGTCTAGTCTATAGTCTAGTCTATAGTCTAGTCAATAGTCTAGTCTATAGTCTAGTCTATAGTCTAGTCTATAGTCTAGTCTATAGTCTAGTCTATAGTCTAGTCTATAGTCTAGTCTATAGTCTAGTCTATAGTCTAGTCTATAGTCTAGTCTATAGTCTAGTCTATAGTCTAGTCTATAGTCTAGTCTATAGTCGTCTATAGTCTAGTCTATAGTCTAGTCTATAGTCTAGTCTATAGTCTAGTCTATAGTCTAGTCTATAGTCTAGTCTATAGTCTAGTCTATAGTCTAGTCTATAGTCTAGTCTATAGTCTAGTCTATAGTCTAGTCTATAGTCTAGTCTATAGTCTAGTCTATAGTCTAGTCTATAGTCTAGTCTATAGTCTAGTCTTATAGTCTAGTCTATAGTCTAGTCTATAGTCTAGTCTATAGTCTAGTCTATTGTCTAGTCTATAGTCTAGTCTATAGTCTAGTCTATAGTCTAGTCTATAGTCTAGTCTATAGTCTAGTCTAGAGTCTAGTCTATAGTCTAGTCTATAGTCTAGTCTATAGTCTAGTCATAGTCTAGTCTATAGTCTAGTCTATAGTCTAGTCTATAATCTAGTCTATAGTCTAGTCTATAGTCTAGTCTATAATCTAGTCTATAATTCTAGTCTATAGTCTAGTCTATAATCTAGTCTATAATCTAGTCTATAGTCTAAGTCTATAGTCAGTCCTATAGTCTAGTCTATAATCTAGTCTATAGTCTAGTCTATAGTCTAGTCTATAATCTAGTCTATAGTCTAGACTATAGTCTAGTCTATAGTCTAGTCTATAGTCTAGCTATATCTAGTCTATAGTCTATAGTCTAGCCTATAGTCTAGCCTATAGTCTAGTCTATAGTCTAGCCTATAGTCTAGTCTATAGTCTAGCCTATAGTCTAGTCTATAGTCTAGCCTATAGTCTAGTCTATAGTCTAGCCTATAGTCTAGCCTATAGTCTAGTCTATAGTCTAGTCTATAGTCTAGTCTATAGTCTAGTCTATAGTCTAGTCTATAGTCTAGTCTATAGTCTAGTCTATAGTCTAGTCTATAGTCTAGTCTATAGTCTAGTATATAGTCTAGTCTATAGTCTAGTCTATTGTCTAGTCTATAGTCTAGTCTATAGTCTAGTCTATAGTCTAGTCTATAGTCTAGTCTATAGTCTAGTCTATAGTCTAGTCTATAGTCTAGTCTATAGTCTAGTCTATAGTCTAGTCTATAGTCTAGTCTATAGTCTAGTCTATAGTCTAGTCTATAGTCTAGTCTATAATCTAGTCTATAATCTAGTCTATAGTCTAGTCTATAATCTAGTCTATAATCTAGTCTATAGTCTAGTCTATAGTCTAGTCTATAATCTAGTCTATAATCAAGTCTATAGTCTAGTCTATAATCTAGTCTATAATCAAGTCTATAGTCTAGTCTATAGTCCAGTCTATAGTCTAGTCTATAGTCTAGTCTATAGTCTAGCCTATAGTCTAGTCTATAGTCTAGCCTATAGTCTAGCCTATAGTCTAGTCTATAGTCTAGCCTATAGTCTAGCCTATAGTCTAGTCTATAGTCTAGCCTATAGTCTAGTCTATAGTCTAGCCTATAGTCTAGTCTATAGTCTAGTCTATAGTCTAGTCTATAGTCTAGCCTATAGTCTAGCCTATAGTCTAGTCTATAGTCTAGTCTATAGTCTAGTCTATAGTCTAGTCTATAGTCTAGTCTATAGTCTAGTATATAGTCTAGTCTATAGTCTAGTCTATAGTCTAGTATATAGTCCTAGTCTATAGTCTAGTCTATAGTCTAGTCTATAGTCTAGTCTATAGTCTAGTCTATAGTCTAGTCTATAGTCTAGTCTATAGTCTAGTCTATAGTCTAGTCTATAGTCTAGTCTATAGTCTAGTCTAGTCTAGTCTATAGTCTAGTCTATAGTCTAGTCTATAGTCTAGTCTATAGTCTAGCCTATAGTCTAGTCTATAGTCTAGCCTATAGTCTAGTCTATAGTCTAGTCTATAGTCTAGTCTATAGTCTTGTCTATAGTCTAGTCTATAGTCTAGTCTATAATTGAGTCTATAGTCTAGTATATAGTCTAGTCTATAATCGAGTCTATAGTCTAGTCTATAGTCTAGTCTATAGTCTAGTCTATAGTCTAGTCTATAGTCTAGTCTATAGTCTAGTCTATAGTCTAGTCTATAATTGAGTCTATAGTCTAGTATATAGTCTAGTCTATAATCGAGTCTATAGTCTAGGCTGTATTAAAGTCCAAAGTGTAGTCTTGTAGTCTAGTCTATAGTCTAGACCTAATCTTATATATTTTAGTCCTATCTCAAGTTAATCTTATACTTAAATTATTTACGAGCTTATAAACTGATAATACTTTAATTATAAAGTAGAGGGCGAAAAGAGTTTATTTGATACATGTACGTTATACAAAATAATGATATGTACATTAGACCTGCTCTTAAAAATATATATATTTTTTTTTTTTTTTGAGAGAAACTAACCGATTCTTCATTTCAAAATAATCGGATAAAGGCAATCCGTAGAAAAAATTATGTAATAAGCTCCTCTATTAAATGTTATTATAATCGGCCCAAATTTGATCCTTTTATATGTAGATCTAATTCACAATAAAAGTTGACTTCATTTTAAGACAATGTTTCTCAATCATTTCCTTACATGCCAACCGTTTGAGGTAAAATAATTTACTTTATTAGCTTAAGATATTAACAAAGCAAAGATTTTTTAATTATGGTTGATGGGCGGATCGGGGTTAGCTAGTTATATATAAATATATAAAAAAAATTATAATCGCATCCTGTATAAGCAGTTTTTGTAATGCCAATCCTTTTTGCATATATTTTGCATATTTCCTAATCCGATTTCTTTTTATCGGTTAAACTTGTTTGATAATATGTGTTTACACTTTAGCTCTTCCAATTTAGGGCTTATGGAACATTTTAGAATTATTTTGTGGTAGACAGTTCCATTTTTTAAGAAACTTTAATAACTTACTTTTTAAGGGCACCCTAATCTAAATACTTGTGTATGTAGTGTGTATATTTTTTTCACAATTTCTCAAATTGCAGACGCGAATCTTTAAAATTTATTGATAATTTGAATGATAAATTAACAGATGGCCGTACAGATGCTGAAATATCATTAAGCGAACTAATACCTCGATTTACTCTCAATAACATATGTGGTAAGTAAAATAGACATTTGGAGATTAGTTCACCTAATAGAAATACCCTACATTTGTTAAAACATTTGCTTTAAAAGTCAAATATTTGATTTGAGATTATAACTTATAATACCCTTCCAGGTTTTTGAGATATCTAACAATATAATAGAGCGAAGTTACCTTTATTTATAAAGTAATATGATGGTCCTATATTTTGGCTTCAAAATATAGGTTTAACCTTTGTTATATCATGTATATATACTTTTAAATTTCAGATTGAAATAACTCAAAGAAGTAACAAGATAAAAAAGGGGATAAATCTGAAAGCCATTGAAGGGGATTTTCAGATGGCATCATAAATTTTATAAATAAAAGTGAGTTTGCTCTGTTATAACATCTCAAGCACATAATCGGTAAACATAAATCCGATACATGTAAATAGTATACATATATCTTTTAATATCGCTTATTATTATGGTTCAGGAAATGTTAGTTCTTCATTGTTTGATCATGCTCTCATATAAGTTTTTATTTTGAGTTAAATTTGATCTAAGAAATACATTTTTATTTATAATTCAGAAACGGCTCTCGGCGTTAGTCTAGATGATCATTTAGGAGGTGATGATTATCGCCAAAACATTACCGAAGTTGAGGAAAGTCTTATGGAACGTATAAAAAATCCTATAATGGTTTATGATCTACTTTACTATACATTCGGAGATGGCAAGAACTACTTAAAGTCCATGGATAAATTGCATAAATTTTCATCGGACATTATAGAAAAACGACGTATTCAAATGGAAAAAGAAATACAGGAACAGAGTAATTCGGAAACAGCTGAAAATAATGACAAGTAGGTCAATTCTTTTTAAATATTTAAATTTAAAAATATGTCATCAAAACTAAATCCTTTATTTAGCATGTATCGTAAGCAACGTTATGCCATGTTGGATACCATGTTAAGAGCTGAAAAAGATGGTCTCATAGATCATGCTGGCATTTGTGAAGAAGTTGATACTTTTATGTTTGAGGGTTTCGATACCACTTCCATGAATTTAATATTCACTTTAATGAATTTAGCTTTGTATCCAGAAATGCAACAAAAATGTTTCGAAGAAATACAACAGCAGATTTCTGCAGATGAACTTAAGGATTTGGCAATGTCAGAACTGAGTAATCTTAAATATTTAGAATGCTTTATCAAGGAAACCCAACGTTTATATCCCTCAGTACCGATAATAATAAGAGAATGTACCACGGATTTGTCTTTGAAAAATAATTTACTTTTACCCAAGGGTACTCAGGTTAATATACATATTTTCGATATACACAGAAATCCTTTGTATTATGATAAACCCGAGGAATTTAGACCAGAACGTTTTATGTCATCGGAGATGGAAAAACGTCATCCATTTGCCTTTATACCTTTCAGTGCAGGTCAAAGAAATTGTATTGGTAAGATTATTTAGTTTATCTTTTATTGTTCTTTATTAATTAATTTAATTTTTATTTATAGGTCAAAAGTTTGCCATGTTAGAAATGAAGACCTTATTAGTGCATGTGTTAAAGAATTTCAAATTAGAAGCTGTTACCCACCCGAACTCGTTTCAATTTTCGGCTGGCATATTAATACGTACTAGAACTAATATCAAAATTAAAATAAAAAGGCGCCAATAGATTTTGATGCAAATTTTAGTGTTAAATAATAAAATTTAAGAAATGTATATTTGTATTTAGTTTTTAAATAAAGTCACTCACTGGTATTTCTAAAGTAAAAGATATTCAATATAAAAAATAAAATTTTGAAAAAAAAAAAACATTTCATAGATAAAATTAACATTGAAATCCAATCATCGGGCGATATATCCGCAATTACAAGAGACTTTTAAACTATTCACAAACGATTTTTATAGATAAAATTACGACAATTTGACGCATATAAGTTTGTCAGAAGACAAAGTGAAGTTTCAAATTTAGGTTTTTGTGATGTTTTAGCTATAGGTTAGTTGGTTTGTACATATATACATCAAATCCGAAGAAGTACACCTAGGCCTCTATCGGGCCTGCTGTGCGCTCTTTAACGAGTGCTTCAGGTGGAAATAGAACCCACCACCTCCGGTCCACCAGGAACACTAACCTATCGGAGGCCACTTCGAGGCCACCGGCTATAGGTTAAGAGCTCTCGAACGGTCTTCATTCCTTTTCGAGATATTTTGTCTATATCACCCAAATTTAAAAAGGGATATATACTTAGGAGCTTCAGAATAATAATTTCAGTAGACTGATGAATGAAGCTGGAAACTCGACTAACTAACTAACTAGTGGCCTCGGTAGGTTAGTGGTTAGTGTTCTAGTCTGGTAGACCGGAGGTGGTGGATTCGATTCCCACCTGAGGCACTGGTTAAGGAGCGCACAACAGGCCCGATAGAGGCCTAGGTGTATTTCTTCGGATTTGATGTATATACATCCTCCTTTCAAACTAACTAACTAACTAACTAACTAACTAACTAACTAACTAACTAACTAACTAACTAACTAACTAACTAACTAACTACTAACTAACTAACTAACTAACTAACTAACTAACTAACTAACTAACTAACTAACTAACTAACTAACTAACTAACTAACTAACTAACTAACTAACTAACTAACTAACTAACTAACTAACTAACTAACTAACTAACTAACTAACTAACTAACTAACTAACTAACTAACTAACTAACTAACTAACTAACTAACTACTAACTAACTAACTAACTAACTAACTAACTAACTAACTAACTAACTAACTAACTAACTAACTAACTAACTAACTAACTAACTAACTAACTAACTAACTAACTAACTAACTACTAACTAACTAACTAACTAACTAACTAACTAACTAACTAACTAACTAACTAACTAACTAACTAACTAACTACTAACTAACTAACTAACTAACTAACTAACTAACTAACTAACTAACTAACTAACTAACTAACTAACTAACTAACTAACTAACTAACTAACTAACTAACTAACTAACTAACTAACTAACTAACTAACTAACTAACTAACTAACTAACTAACTAACTAACTAACTAACTAACTAACTAACTACTAACTAACTAACTAACTAACTAACTAACTAACTAACTAACTAACTAACTAACTAACTAACTAACTAACTAACTAACTAACTAACTAACTAACTAACTAACTAACTAACTAACTAACTAACTAACTAACTAACTAACTAACTAACTAACTAACTAACTAACTAACTAACTAACTAACTAACTAACTAACTAACTAACTAACTAACTAACTAACTAACTAACTAACTAACTAACTAACTAACTAACTAACTAACTAACTAACTAACTAACTAACTAACTAACTAACTAACTAACTAACTAACTAACTAACTAACTAACTAACTAACTAACTAACTAACTAACTAACTAACTAACTAACTAACTAACTACTAACTAACTAACTAACTAACTAACTAACTAACTAACTAACTAACTAACTAACTAACTAACTAACTAACTAACTAACTAACTAACTAACTAACTAACTAACTAACTAACTAACTAACTAACTAACTAACTAACTAACTAACTAACTAACTAACTAACTAACTAACTAACTAACTAACTAACTAACTAACTAACTAACTAACTAACTAACTAACTAACTAACTAACTAACTAACTAACTAACTAACTACTAACTAACTAACTAACTAACTAACTAACTAACTAACTAACTAACTAACTAACTAACTACTAACTAACTAACTAACTAACTAACTAACTAACTAACTAACTAACTAACTAACTAACTAACTACTAACTAACTAACTAACTAACTAACTAACTAACTAACTAACTAACTAACTAACTAACTAACTAACTAACTAACTAACTAACTAACTAACTAACTAACTAACTAACTAACTAACTAACTAACTAACTAACTAACTAACTAACTAACTAACTAACTAACTAACTACTAACTAACTAACTAACTAACTAACTAACTAACTAACTAACTAACTAACTAACTAACTAACTAACTAACTAACTAACTAACTAACTAACTAACTAACTAACTAACTAACTAACTAACTAACTAACTAACTAACTAACTAACTAACTAACTAACTAACTAACTAACTAACTAACTAACTAACTAACTAACTAACTAACTAACTAACTAACTAAACTAACTAACTAACTAACTAACTAACTAACTAACTAACTAACTAACTAACTAACTAACTAACTAACTAACTAACTAACTAACTAACTAACTAACTAACTAACTAACTAACTAACTTGACGATATGGGTAAAAAGTTAAAAATTAGTAATTTAATTACCATAATTAACTATAAATTTATTGTGGGACCTTTGTATTACATACAAAACTATTGATGACAATGCAATAATTCGTACAGCTGTTTTCTAATTACTCGTAATGCAAATAAGAGAAGATTTTTAAAGGGTAATTACTATGATAATATGATTGAAAAACAAACTGGAACTCGAACTATAACTAGTGCAAAGTTAAAAAAATTTGTTGAATTTTAAGCACTTTGCAGCGAAGGGCTTTTTAAAAATTTCTTTTAGTACCTCATAATACTAATTGTCTAATACAGTACAAACTCGATTTCCCCGATATGAATAATCACACAAAAAAAGTCACCCTTACCCTTTAACAGAGCACTGGAGTGATCTTAACAATTTTTTATTTAAAATAAAAGAATATAAAATCAAATTAAAATGATGCTACTGGAATATTGTTTTGACCTTTTTTCACAAATTGTTTAAATCAATTGAATTTAATATATTCACGATATTGAGTCTGCAGATCTAAAAATTTCATATTGCACAAATCGAGTGTCAGCACAATTAATGGATGTGTCTTTCAAGTTCATACTGTATTTTAATTTTACAAAATTTGTTTATTAATTTGCATTGTAAATAAAAATTAATTGAAAAATATACATTCTTTAATGTTGTTTTAAAAATTCAATAGGTAATCGTCATCTTCTTCCTTTTAATATATAACGAATTTTAGATGCTTTACAATAGAAGTTATAAAAAACAGAAAAATTTATATTAGTCAGTACTAATCTGAAATATGAAGTGTTATTAAGAAAATTGATTTTATATAGCAGATATATAGTCTCATTTATATAGTCTCATTTAAATTTATAATGCAGTTCTTTTTATAGACCCAATTATGTTCTACTAAACCATAATTTTTAACTTGAATCTTTGTTTCGTTTATTTAATTCGATTTAAGCTTGAATTGTCGATCTTTAAATGTACACATGTACATACATATATTTTCATTTAGTTAGACTTTAATAAAGCACGACTTAAGTATCATAACATAACTATAATTATGTTTTAATAGATTTCTGATACAACAGTCTATAACAGTCTCCTTAATCTCTATTCCATTTTACTTCCAACCCATTTAAGTTCCAATAGCAGATTTAATACAGTAAAAATGTTTTAATAACAATTCTAAAGTTTTGTTAAAAATTAACGCTCTCAATATTCTCTTCTGTGTATTTCATAATTAAAAACTTTATTAATTCTTTTTAATCATTAAATAATAATTAAATAAACATATACAAATACATACATATGTATGTATAATATAATGTCAAATCTTATCTTAAGTAAAATACAAAACTTTAGGGTACTGAAACAGATAGTAAAAATTGCAATGTCTGAGTATGTAGTTTGTATGTCACATATACTCGAAAAATTTTGAATGTAAATGTTACTATTATTGTATAAATAAATTTTTTAGATTTTATTAATCTATCATCCAGATTAAAGTCTAGTCTGTAATTGAGACTATAATGATGCCTCTAGTGTCTAGATTACACTTAGCCATAAGTCTAGCGGCTAGACTCTATCCTAGACTATAGTGTAGTATATATGTATATAGTTACGTTATATATTCCTGACTATAGACAAGTTCATATTTATATTCTATAGTCCAGAATATAGTCTATTCCATAGTCCAGACTATAGTCTATTCCATAGTCCAGACTATTCTATAGTCCAGACTATAGTCTATTCTATAGTCCCTACTATAGTCTATTCCATAGTCCAGACTATAGTCTATTCTATAGTCCAGACTATAGTCTATTCTATAGTCCTGACTATAGTCTATTCTATAGTCCAGATTGTAGTCTATTCTATAGTTCAGACTATTGTCTATTCTATAGTCCAGACTATAGTCTATTCTATAGTCCAGACTATAGTATATTCTACATTCCAGACTCTAGTATATTCTATAGTCCAGACTATATATAGTCTATTCTATAGTTAAAAGTATAGTCTATTCTATAGTCCAGACTAAAGTCTACTCTATAGTCCAGACTATAGTCTACTCTATAGTCCAGACTATAGACTACTCTATAGTCCAGACTATAGTCTACTCTATAGTCCAGACTATAGTCTACTCTATAGTCCAGACTATAGTCTACTTTATAGTCCAGACTATAGTCTACTCTATAGTCTAGACTATAGTCTACTCTATAGTCCAGACTATAGTCTACTCTATAGTCCAAACTATAGTCTAAGTATATTCTATAGTCCAGACTACAGAATATACTATAGAACAGACTATAGTCTATTCTATAGAACAGACTATAGTCTATTCCAGACTATAGTCTATTTTACAGTCCAGACTATTCTGTAGTCCTTACTATAGTCTATTCTATAGTCTATTCTATAGTCCAGACTGTACTCTATCCTATAGTCCAGACTATAGTCTATTTTGCAGTCCAGATTATATTCTTTTCAATTTGTTTATATTTGTAAACATTTAAGATAAGAATAATTACTGTAGAAATTTTATTGGGTGTATGTTTTTCTACAGATACATGAATATAAATAATTTTAATCAAATAAATATACCCCCAAACTAATTGTTAAACAAGTCTACTCATTCAGTTGTTAAAATGTGCTCTTAGCCATTGAAACGTTAAATTTTATTATTGTAGTTTAAAATAAACAAATTATTTTTAATTTGTGTAGTACATTTAATACATTTATTTCATTTATTAAATAATATTGGAATAATATTCAATTAAAAATGGTATTTTGGACTTTGGCAGTGGGTTTTATATTAATAATATGGTTGTTTAAATTAAATAAAACTTATAATATTTTGGCATTTTTGCACCAAGAATAAAAACCATAGATGGTAGTCCAGTGGAAAATATTGCACCCGCTCTGCCGGGTAGAACTATATTTGGTAATACTTTCGATGTGGCTGGTTATGATTATGGCAAGTTTTAAAAAACAAAAAAATCTAAGAAAAACTTTTAAATTTACCGGTTCGTTTTTTTATATATAGTGGCTACCTTTAAATATGCCCGTCGAAATGCTGAATTAATGAAGAAAAATTTCACTCAATATGTTCTCGGCAAAACTATTCTCAATGTTATCGATGCCGATTTATGGGAAATTATTGCTACCGATACAAAACTAATTAAAAAAGGTTTTGTCTATGACTTTTTAGAACCAGCTCTTGGTGAGGGTTTGCTTATTTCGACAGATCAAAAGTGGCATGCAAGACGTAAAATGTTAACTCCCGCATTTCATTTCAATATTTTGGGACAATTTGAGGAAATATTCAAGTAAGTATAATTAAATTATTTTAAACCTGTTGGCTGATTATTACTTTTTTAATGCAGAGAAGAAAGTCAAAAGTTTGTAAAGGAATTGGAAAATTTAGATACCGATGTGGTGTTATTGGATGAAGTTATACCAAAACTAACGTTAAATGTTGTATGTGGTAAGTGATGAAAATATTATAATCCATAGCCCAGGCTATAGTCTATTCTAAAATCTAGGCAATAGTCTACTCTAAAGTCCAGATTACTGTCTAATATAAAGTCTAGACTATAATTTCATATATAGTCCAGACTATAGTCAATAATCAATCTAATCCAGACCGCAGTCTCATCTATTGTCTAGACTATAGTCTAATATAATCCAGACTGTACTGTCATCTATTGTCCAGACTATAGTTTAATCTATGGTCTATAATCCAAACTATAGTCTAATCTATGTTACATATTATAGCTTAATCTATAGTATAGAATATAGACTAATCGATAGTCCAGATTATAGTTTACTATATGGTCCATTCTTTAGTATATTCTATTCTAATTTCGAGCTTACAGTTTAATCTACAGTCCAGACTATAGTTCAATCTACATTCCAGACTATAGTGATATCTATGGTGGAGACTGAAGTCTAATCTATCAATCTAATCCAGACTGTAGTCTTATCTATTGTCCAGACTATAGTCCATACTATAGGCCATAATCCAGATCTATCTAATCTATGTTACAGAATATAGTCGAATTTATAGTGCAGACTATAGTCTAATCCATGGTCCATTTTTTAGTCTATTACAAAGTTTAGATTACAGTATAATATATAGTCCAGATTATGGTATTATCTATAGTCCAAATTATAGTTTAATATATAGTTCATACTCTAAGCAAATCTATAGCCCAAATTACAGTCTGGTATATAACTATAGATTAGACTAAAGTCTAATCTACAGTCAAGATTATAGTACTAATCTGTACTCAAGACTATAGTCTTATCTATAGTCAAGACTATAGCAGCCAATAGGCTAATATATAATACAGGGAATAATCTGAAAGCCAGACTATGTAAAGTCCAAACTATAGTCTAGTCTATAGTCCAGATAATTAGCTAGTTTATAACTCAGACTTTAGTTATATCTATATTCTATACTACTGCCCAATCAATATTTCAGACCATAGTCTAGTATATAACTGTAATATTATCTAAACTAAACCAAAACCTTATTTACAGTCCAGAGTATAGATCGATCTATAGGCCAGCCAAGTAATACGACTATGGTTAATGCTCTAATATATAACAAACACTATAGCCCAAACTATATCAAGACTAGATGAATTAACCTCAAATTTTGAACAATATCTAATTTTCAGAAACTGCTCTGGGTGTTAAATTGGATCATTGTTTAAATGGCGATGAGTATCGAGAGAGTTTCAAAGTTTTCGAAGAATGTTTCAATAAACGTGTGAATACCCCTCATTTGTTAGTTGATTTCATATACAAACTGCTCGAGGAACATAAATATACACCAGCAATTAAAATCGTCCACGACTTCTCCAGTGACATAATTAAGAAGAGAAGACAACTATTCCAAGAAGAGTTAAATAAACAAGCCAAAGAGCAGTCCACAGAAAATGATGAATTTGAGTAAGAGTTATATAAATTACTAAGTTAATTTTTAATTAAATGTACATATATATTTAAAGTTTCAAGAAAAAACGCTACGCCATGTTGGATACACTTTTGAGAGCCGAAAAAGAAGGTCTTATCGATCACGCCGGTATTTGCGAAGAAGTTGATACATTTATGTTTGAGGGTTTCGATACCACTTCCATGGGTTTAACTTTTAGTCTTATGAATCTATCGCTATATCCGGAAATGCAAGAACGTTGTTATCAGGAAATCATGGACAATATTGATGATTTCGATAATTTGGATATATCGAAATTGAATAACCTTAAGTATATGGAATGTTTTTTGAAAGAAACTATGCGTTTATATCCCTCGGTACCGGTTATAATGCGTGAAGCTGTACAGGAAACTCAATTGCCAAATGGTCTAATATTACCAGCAAATACTTTTATTTCAATACATATCTTCGATATTCATCGTAATCCAAAGCATTTTGAAAATCCCAATACATTTGATCCGGATAGATTTACGCCAGAGAAATCGGCCGGTAGACATCCTTATGCATTTTCGCCATTTAGTGCTGGTCAAAGGAATTGTATTGGTAAGTAGTATGGAATTTATTTATCTATCAATAATCTAAAATAAACTTTTAAAACTACTTTCATTTTAGGTCAAAAATTCGCCATGCTAGAGATGAAAACACTATTGGTTCATGTTATCCACAAATTCAGATTGTTGCCTTTAGTTGATCCGGATAAATTTGAATTCAAAACTGGCATTATAATACGTACCAAGGATGAGGTTAAAGTTAAATTAGTTAAACGGCAATAAATGTAATACTTTTGTTTGTAATTTTGTTTATTTGTGTTATTGTTGTTATTCTTTGTAAATAAATGTACATTAATTTTATGTATTGCATCTAACCTACTTTTAAAACTTTTGAAAAAATATCCAAAATTGATAATTACAGTCATAAGCGGAACAGGAATCTCCAGATAGACCCAATTTTTCCGCTTGTATGAAAAATTTTGGGCTTCTGCTGATTTCGAATCGCTGGAAGTAGAAGGACTAAAGATTTTGTTAAATGAAGTTATGATCTAAATTATTGGAAATGTTTTGATTAAAATACCTGAAGAAGATATGTAATAATTCACCATAAACGTCAAAATGCCGCATAAATTGCAAAGCATTTGCCTCACAAATAGCTCGCAAAAGACATTCTTGACCCTTGTAGCCATAGCTGATAAATAAAATAAAATTAAAGAAATGTTATATAGATAGGTAGATAGATAGGTAGATAGATAGATAGAAGTAGATAGATAGATAGATAGATCGATAGATAGATAGATAGATAGACATAGCTAGCTCGATAGATAGATAGATAGATAGTCGCTCGCCTCGCATCGATCGCTAGCTCGCTCAGATAGATCATAGCTAGCTCAGCTATCGCTCGCTCGCTCGCTCGCTAGATCGACTAGCTCGCTCGCTACGCTCGCTCGCTCGCTCGCTCGCTTCGCTCTTCGCTCGCTCGCTCGCTCGCTCGCTCGCTCGCTCTCGCTCGCTCGCTCTCGCTCGCTCGCTCGCTCTCTCGC